CCTTTGGCTTCCTGCTCTGCCCACATAAAGGAAAAGCTCCATTCAGCAAAGCCAACCCCCGGCTTCAGGCGACTCAGCCAACCTCCCTTTCTTTCCTTCTTCCTTTTGGTGAATGCCAAATACTGTGGGATGCTGTGGACCTGCCAGGCCTTTCTCAAAACCTTCCCCCAGTGGGGTTCTGTGTTATGCAGCCCTGTGGCCCATGTGTGGGGAACAAGGAATTCTCAAACACTGTGTTCATACTTGCTAGACGTACTAGTTGTCCCTGAAGCCCTGGCATTCATGCCAAAGTCTGTGTCCCTGACTGTTGAAGGAATGTGTCTTAGCTTTAGGATTTCAACGGTAGCGAGAGAAAATAAAAGAAGTACAGTCAAAAACTTCCCTGTGAGAAGCCACTAGAATGGTGAATGGTGAAGTATTCCCTCCTCACCCCCTCCTACCCCACACCAACAACCCTTCTAGTGTGAGTTGGGACCTATCATGAACTGACAGTGGGACATCACCTAATCCCAGGTCACCCGTAAGATTTGTTTTACTAATGCATTTCCGCCCAAACCCACCTGAAAGTCAGCGAAGTTGGACAGCTCGCTTGAGATGCGGCTGCTCATAAATACAGTAATTTTCATGTAGGTTTTATCAGCTCCTCCTCCCTATTGAAGGACAGTATGAGGGACCAGGCTTTTTCTTTAGGTCACCAACCAGCTTCTGAATCACGACATGGAGGCTTATTATTAGTTATGGATGCTTAGCCGTAGTTGCTCTTATTTTAATCTGCTTCTCTTCTACGTTTTGCCTCAGGGCTTTTTCACTTTTTTCCTTCTGTAGATCTTACTTTTCACTGCTTTTCATGTCTGGCTGGTGGCTGCCCAGCTCTGGCGTGTCCCTTGTTCTCTTCATTCCTGTCTTCGCAAGCCTAGGCTTCTCTTCCTACTTGTCCTCCCTGCCTGCCAGTCCCACCTATCCCTCTTCTGCTATTGGCCGTTCAGCTTTCTATTAGACCAATCAGATCCCTTAGGCAGGCAAAGCAAAACAAATGCAACACATCTTTACCTAATTAAACAAATGCGGTATAACCAAACGTAAGACACCTTTATGCAGTTAAAAGTAATATTCCACAGCATAAACAAATATAACGCATCTTTGCCTAGTTAAAATAATATTCCACAGCAGTGTGATTCATACGACGGTTCACTCTTTCCATAGATCGGTGTTGAATGAGCTCCTATTGCACACCTGGCTTTGGAAGCACAGCCCCGAATAAGACAAGTTAGGGCTCTTTTAAACCCTGGTTTCTAGAAAGAAAATCCATGGGTACTGTGCTATGTGATTCACTTTCTGTCGCTGCAACAGAATGTCTGAGATAACTAACAGATCTCATGGTTTGAGAGGTTCTTCTCGGTGATCAAGAAGGTGTATTACTTTCAGATGCCTGGATAGTGTGTCAATGACAAGGAAGCACGAGGCAGATGAAACGGCTCACTACATGGACTGGAAGTGAAAGAGGAAATGGCCCAAGTTCCTTGAAGAGCCTAACAGCCAATGACCTAAAGACCTCTCTCTAGGTTCTGCCTCCCAAATAGCTACAGGAGGTCATTCCCAAGCCTTTAGCCTTGGCCTTGGGGAAGCATCCAGCATCCAAAATATAGCTAGTGCTATAGGAAAAAAATAAAACAAGGAAATGAAACATTCCTGATGACAGGACATAAAAAATTCTGCCCGTCGTGTCAAGAGCAATTTTCAGAGCCCTGGAAACTGTCACGGCAGCTGCGATGACAATATGATGCTCCCACAGCCGGCATAAGAGGCTCCACAGCCAAATAGGTGCCTTTGAGCTTGTGGGAAACTACTGTCAAAGCGAGAATGCTACAAGCCAGATGGACCGCATGGCTCGGGGTGGTGATTTGACCCCGAGAGCCATAATTACTCCCACCTTGATGGAAAATCGGCCTTCTCCCCCTTCTCTCCTTTCAAGGGGGTTTTGAAAACTGATTCCACCCAGTCTGGAAGCCATTTGGAGAGTCCCATGAGGAAAGAGCTATGTAGCAATGTGATTATTAGTGTTGATTTCATTTGCTATGACATGACTGGGAATTACTGGGAAAACCCATTACCAAGGAGCAAATGAGTTTGTAAAGATGTGACAAATTAGCATGTCTAAAGACGGGCCACCGCATCAGGAGGCTGATGGACTACCCATGTATCTAAGCTGTGTAAACAGGCACTGATGTAGAAGGAGTGTGATTTAGGGATCTACTGAGAAGATGGTCTGGCCTTTAGAAAGGAAGTAATTTAATAACAGAACAGTGTCTTTGGGGAGGATTGTGTGCCCCAGAGGTAGCAAGGTTTGCTAATAATTCATTTGATGGAGGATGGGGGAGTTCTCCCATCTAAACAGTCCTATCTAGTTTTCTGAAATTCAGACAATGTATGAAAGCCATTGTTGACACAGTTAATAAAACTGATTGTCCTTGGTCTAGAAGAGATTGAAATTTAACTAATGCGGAAATTAATTTCACATAAAATCTTAACGTTATCATATTTTATGTTTTGGACTGACCCCCCCCCTTTTAACACTTCCCAGGGTCTGCACTGCTTTTGCTAACAAATATAACTCAAATCCATAATTAATTAAAGTAACAATTAACATAATGATCATTTTATTAACTCTTATACAACTTCATTTTATATCACTTGAGAAAAATGAGAACTTGATTGCTTAGAATTGATAATACAAATGGTTTTACTTTTATTATAAGTTTGCACATGTAACTTTTTTTTTTTTTTTTTTACAATTTCTCCTGGATTCACAAATAAAAGCTGGGCTGGGGAAGTGGTGCAGATGCTAACGTACTTGCCACACAAAGCAAGAAGAGCTGAGTTTGAGCCCCAGCGCTCCCATAAAAAGCTATACACAGAGGCATTCACTCAGTACCTCAGTGAGGGGTGGGGTGAGGGGGAGATGAGGCAGAAAAACCCTGAGGGTCATCGGTAGTTGGTCAGTGTGCCCATCACAAAGTCTGACTATGAACCATGAACCAGGTGCCCAAGAACATTGAGTTGGGCCCGGAACTACAATAGGCCTGTCACTTTGAATAGGAGTGGGCTTGGAACCTATGTCTGCGAGAGTCAACCTTCAGCCTGTAGCTACATGGGCCTCTGGTGGTGGGTAGGTCTTTATCTTGAGTGTTGTGTGGCCACATAGATGCTAAAATAGACTTAGTACCTAAGTCCACTAGACCTATATCCGCAAATGCTGGTCTCATGCTAGAACAAGTCACCTGCCTGGAGAGACCATGTCCATTCAGACTGGCTTGGTAATTGGGTTTAGAGATATCAATTTGGCTTTTGGATAGCCTGAGGTCTGGGCTGTGCAGGTCAACTTGTCTCTAAATTAGCCGGAAACCTGGGCTATCCTGGTACTGACCAGACCTGGAGTGTGTGTCCACAGCAACAGCCTGGAGACTTAGTTTGCTGGTCTCAATATGATGACTAGAACTGAGGATTCCCACCTTACACTGAGAAGACGTGCATAAAGCCAGGGATCACAGGAGCCAAGCCCTTATTCGGGACTAGTAAGGCCCTTAGGAGAATCTGGGACAATCCACAAAGGCTGCCCTATATGTATATGTGGTGTAGGCTCAAAGCCCTAGGCCACTGAGGCCACCAGCACCGGGGCTGGTGGTGAAACTGAGCGATAGTTTTGAGTCTGTTAGGTTAGCACTGGATTATAACCTGACTTGACACCAAGGGAGGCATGGAGGCTCACCCCTTGGGTACCAGCTTGAAATGTGATACTCTGGTAGCCTTGCCAGCTTAAGTTTTCCTGGGCCAAGGATACATTAATCTTTCCAAAGAAACTGTGTGATCCTCGGCAAATACAAGACAAGATTGCCCCGATATCAAACCAGACAAAAATATCACAAGGAAAGATCCCAAGTTCGCGGTAGTTACTGCGAACTATGCGATGCTAGACCAAGTGTTTGCATCACTCGACCCTAAGAATCATAACCAAAACCAGCAGCAAAGAAGTCACAAAGAATATGTGATCGCGACGAATGTCTAGGGCCTCCTCGCTGCAGCAGGTTTAACCCCAACGCCTGCGCAGATCAGTGGATGGCCACAAGAAACTTCCAGAAATAGGAGATGGTTTTAGAGTCCTGCCCCATTCCCATCCAGAGAGGCAGTACACCAAGATTTAGAAGCGCCTCTCCCCACTATTTTTTTTCATATATATGCAGTTATGTTACCAGAGTCAGGATGAGTTCGTGTCCACTAGTATAAGACCTTCCTTCATTATCCTCCACCAACCCAAGACCCTGAACTCTTCCCCTCCCCATGTCAAAAATCTCTGAGAACTCGGTCAGAACCTCAGATGACTCAGCAGCTAAAGGTGTTTGCCACCCACTTCATTTCTGGAACCCACACAGTGGAAGTAGAGAACCTTGCAAGCAAGTTATTCTCTGACCTCTATACAGTGGGTTATGGTGTGTGCACACACACAGAGACACACATACCTAAGTAAAGGCAAGAAAAAGTCGGAAATCTTCCTTCACGTTAAGGCCTAGCTGAAGATCACAGTCTGAAAATGTTTCAATAAGGTGTGTGCATTCTACCAGATTCAAACTTAAAGCTTGACACTAAACTCAACTGATCATTTGTGACCCCCGGGCGGTTTTCTAGAGAATGAGTTAGGGATGGAGAGAGTCTGAGGGCAGACGGCCTCCAGATTTTCCTGGCCTGGAAAAGCAGGATGTTTGGGGATGGCAAGATGGTTCAGCAATGGGACACTTGCTGGCAGATCTGATGACCCACATTTGATCCCTGCAACCCCCATGGTAGAGGGGAAAAGCCCTCACTCCTGGAAGTGGTCCGCTGACCTACACACACACACACACACACACACACACACACACACACACACACACACACGGCATGCACACTGACTTCCCCCACCCCACAACAGATAAACATAATAAAACAATTGCAAGTCGTATATTTACCGAGACTATTTTAACTCTGGTGCCAAATTCGAGGCTCCTGGAAACACAGAGAAGTAAACACTCTGGATTCCTGTTTGCATCAGATTCCAAAGCTTGTTCAGGATGTGCACAAGAGAAGTCCTGTTAACAAAGCACACAGGAGACACCTCAGTATCCAGGGCCTGTGTTCCTGGAAAATTAAAATTGCTTTTCCTCTTAAATACACAATACACTGTTTCTATATACTATATATTGGTGCACACTGTATATTGCATAAGTATACAGCTATAGGATACACTTAAAATCTCAGCTAGGAAAGACTCAGAAACATAGGCAAACTTTGAATTCCTGTTAATTCTAATGACAAGGGATTTTAAAGAGACCTTTGTAATCCCTTGATGATTTAGAAGACTTCTTGTACCTGATAAAAAAAAAAAAAGTCACTTTAAGTCACTAGCATTTGGTCCTCTAATCACCAGGGAATGTGAAGCAAGGCCTCCAAAAGCCCCATTTCCCTCATTTGCCTTGAGATTAAGAGCATTTGAGAGGCAGGGATTGTGTTTGCGCTGGGACCGTGCAGTCAGCTAACTCCTGTCAGCACCATCTGGACTGTCTTCACTAATTCCATTTTAAGACTAGGAAGGTGAGACCTGCTGATTGCTGGCAGGTCTCTTATCACATGGCTAGATCTCTAACCACCCGTGTGAGTCTTCTTCCTAGGGAGGCTACGTAGAGCACAGAAAGGAAAGGAAAAGAGAAAGAAAGAAAGAAAGAAAGAAAGAAAGAAAGGAAGGAAGGAAGGAAGGAAGGAAGGAAGGAAGGAAGGAAGGAAGGAAGGAAGGAAGGAAGAAACAAGGAAAGAAACAAAGAAAGAAAGAAGACCCAGGTGGTGGAGGGATGGAGTTTAGGGAAATAAATCTGGTGAAGCATTCATTAGTGTGAGCTTTACTTATTTAGTGGGTTAAAACTGGGGACAGCTGAAAGCGAAATGAACGGTGGAAAGAACTATCTATTAATGTGTTGGGGTTGTAAAAGCTGAGCAAAGTGCTCACATGAAGGCAAGAATGTAGAGAGAAACTGACCAAAGAGCTTTCCATGGAGGAATGCTCCCCAGACCGGGCTGAGAGACTGTTCATCTTAGTTTATTGCACAATAAAAAGGAAAAATGGGGCGTTTTCAACCCCTCCTCCGCCAAATGGACCGGGCCAAACCAGTCTGTGGCATGCGCTGTGAACTCATTCAGAGAGGAATCGACATATTTTAGAGCGGAATTGTCTAAAAATAACTTGTTTCATCAGTTCTGGGACATTTTTTTTTTCAGTCTTTTGCCAAGAATCCAATTAATGTGTGTGGCTTTTTTTTCTTCCAGGAAGTTTTATGGGGCCTTGATATCTTTTACTTTTTTACAAAGAAAATCCACACAGCCGAGTGTGTCTGGAAAACAATTGCAGGGATCTACAATGTCAACGCAGCTACTAATTCCATAGATCTAGGACGCTCATGAGGACCAATTATTTCATTTAAACTGCTCTTCTAGCCACCCCACCCCACCCTTTCCTCTCCTCCCCTCCCCTCTCCTCCTTTTCCTTCTCCTCCTCTCCTCCCTTCTCTCTCCTCTCCTCTCCTCTGTTCTCCTCTCCCCTCTCATTCTCATCTCCATTTCTCTCCTCTCCTCCCCTTTCCTCCCCTCCCCTCCCCTCCTCTCTTATGCCTTCCCCTTCACCTTTCCTCCCCAGCTCCTGCCAAAGCTCACTTCTGCAGAGTGCTGGTGTTTCACTGTATCTGGGATGACGGCAGCAAAGGGGCAGATAAGGAGACTAGGAGACTGGCCCCAGCCTGGACTTCATCCTTGCTCTGAGTGTCTGCAGATAGCTACTAGGAAATAATTGAATATGAGAAGTAGCCTTTCCAGGGCACCAATGCTTTACTAATACCGCTACTGTGATGATAAAATCCTCTGAAACACATCAACTGGATGCCGTGGTATTTGAAAACAGAAGATTTTGGAGACTCTACTACTGTTTTCTAAGTGGGCCAGCCTGGTTGGCTGTAATCTAATGATAAATGAAAATAAACATTATTCTATTTTATAAACCAACATTTCAGGGACCATCTCTGATGGCTCATTTAGGAAAGTATCATTAATCTAACAAAACCCTGAACACTGTTATCTATGGATCCTAATATCATGATAGGCCAGAGAAGTCACTGGCTCCTACATTAAAGAGAGATCAATATGTAGAAGGTGCAGCGAGGTCTTACATGGGGGTTCCTTTCCCTTAGACAGAACCATGGTGCCATTGGCCAAACATGCCATTGTTTCTCAGCTGACATTCCTCCTGTGGTGTGTGGTACCTTCTGCTGGAAAGGTTTAGCTAACCATGATGAACATCTTCTTGAGGGACACCTTACCCATCTGGGCATCTAGCTGCTTCTTCCTCTCTGCTGTAGTAGAATTTTGGATATTATTTTGCTTTAACCCCTTGATCTTAAAACAAAACAGCAAAGCAGAAAATCACAAGAAACCTCTGCAGCTTCATTTTTCCCCCTAGTCCTTCTGCTTCCTCCATCTGTGGGTACATTTCTAAGAAGAGCCTTTTTCACATTCAGGCTTTGTTTCCTTGCCTCTGTCTCGTTTGCTCATTCCAACTGGCTTCCGTCTTTCCTACTCATTGAACTTCTTTGTAACTGTAGTTGTGTCTTCCACAGTGCCCACCCACTGGTTGATTCTCATTGTACTTTTCCTCTCTTGAACAGCCTACGCCTTGACCATCACCTCTTTAAAATATACCTGGCAGTTGAGTGTGATGTCATACACATGTGATTCCATTCTTGGGAGGGTAACAGGGATGGCTGTGAATTTGAAGCTATATTATAGCTACTGTCAGGTCCAAGACAGCCTGGGTTACATAGGAAAACCCTGTGTCAAAAAAGAGCAAAATGGGGCTAGGAATAAAGCTCAGTGGTAGAGTGCCTACTTAGGACACATAACATACTAAGTTTCAATTCACAGCATGTACATACAGAGAGAGAGAGAGAGAGAGAGAGAGAGAGAGAGAGAGAGAGAGAGAGAGAGAGAGACAGAGAGAGACAGAGACAGAGAGACAGAGACAGACAGAGACAGACAGAGAGAGACAGAGACAAAGACAGAGAAAGACAGACAGAGAGACAGAGAAAGACAGAGAGACAGACAGAAACAGAAAGTGGAGTCTAGGAATCATCTATCTCCAGGATATCCTCCAACCAAGATTGTTTTCCTCCAGTGGCCTGGGGCATTTTTCTCAGTCTCCTTTCTCCCACACAGCTTCCTTAGATCCTAGACCTTCACTGATTCTCTGGTGCCTTTTGGTGATCTGGTCTGCTCCTTGCTGGAGTTCTTTATCTATATCAGCAGTACCATGAGGACCCACACACTGTCTCCCCCTTCTCTTTTCTCTCCCTCTCTGTCTTTCCCTTCTCTTTTCTCTCCCTCTCTGTCTTTCTCCATGGGTTCTAGACTATAATTCAGAATGTTTACCTTTATTATTAGCACTGTCATACATATGCTAAAATCCCACTAGAAGTAAAAAACTTCCGGCCTTAGCTTTCCAAAAGAAGACACGGAAAAAGAGACAAAGAAACCTACTGTTCATTTACCTAAACCAGGACAGAAGAAAGGAATCCCGGTGACCTCAGAACTTGTTCTTTCAGCTTCTCTCTCTCTATTATCTCCAAGCAAAAAGTAATCCCCACAAAGGTTTGTACTCATCAGCAGCTCTGAACTTATGGTTTATAGAATTTCTTCCTTTTCTCTCCACTCAGGTCACTGGGCATGTGCAGTAAGCACTTGTATCCACCGAGCCATCCTGCTGGCCTCATTATAGATCTTTACTGCCCCAATATGAGTATTGTAAGGAGGCCCTTAGTTTATTCCCGGCTGCCTGGCAGCTCAGACCCGAAATAATCACCCAGAAACTATATTGTTTAAATCATTGCTTGGCCCATTAGCTCTAGCTTCTTATTGGCTAACTCATATCTTAATTTAACCAATTTCTAGCAATCTGTGTATTACCACAAGGGTGTGGCTTAGTGGGTAAAGTTCTGGCATCTGTGTACTGCAGGGCTACATGGCTTCTCTTTGACTCCACCTCCTTTCTCCCAGCATTCAGTTTAGTGTTCCCTGCCTACCTCTATTCCCTGCACAGGCCCAAGACAGTTTCTTTTAACCAATGGTATTCACAGCATACAGAGGGGAATCCCACATCAATATGAGTTTATTCTTTTGTTCAGAAATTGTAAGCTTGTTTGATGAGGTGTATAGTTTCAGGACAGAAGTGGTTCTTGCTCTGAAGAAATTATAGCATTTTGACCATGCAGAAATTACTTACTTTTTTCCTTTCTGAGGCACAATAGAGAGGGGAAGTCAAGGGGAGATGAAAAGGGGGCTCTTGCCCTTGAATCTAGTTTGCCTACATTGATGTCATTGAGTCCAGAGACATAAACCCAGCCAAGAGCTGAAACAGAGAGGTGTGTTTCCTTTGAGACATCTCAGACAAAGGTGTCAAAAGCAACAAATGACTTGTTCTCACGCAGGGCCAGAATGTCCACGACCTTGGCTCTTGCCATGTCAGCCCTCCTGTCTCATTCCGAAATCTAAACAGTACACCTCATAAAAACTGCCTTTCAATTTTATTTTCAAAAGAAAATTCCTAGATAAGAAAAATAAGTAAATTAACTCGTGTGTTTTTGTTTAATTTTCAGATTTTACTTAATTTTAAGCTTTGTAAATTATATTATATGAGGAATGCAACGTAGAAAACCACAGGATTGTATATATAAGCGCTGCAGAGACACTCAAACACAATTCTCTGGAGAAGGCCATCCTCACATCTAAGGCTTGTGGGACTGTGTCCTCACAGTTTTTACAGGACTTGATGAACTCACCAAATTTGTTCACTCTGTCTCATCCGAAAATATGAGTTTTTATTTCACACACTGGGGAGGGTACCTATGTGCACACACGTGCAGGTGGACGAGGCCAGAAGAGGGTCTTAGATCTCCTGGAGCCGGGGGCGCAGGGAACCGCCAGATATAAGTGCTAGGGGGCTGAACTCTGGTATTCTGCAATATTGGCAAGCCTTAGGAGCCATCTCTTTAGCCCTGTGGAATTCTTTTCTGTGGCATCTTCAAGAATGTGGCCTTACCTAAAAGGGGGTTCCTAGGGGGGAACGAGAACTCTTCAGACTACTGGTGGCTGCACTGGACTCTGTCCTTCCCTTCCCCTCATTTCTGTATCTCCTGCAGTCGTTAGCTACCTGGTAAACATTTGCTGCATCAACAACGTGAATGAATTCATAGCATTCAGAACCTGGTCATCAGTTATTTCCCTGAGGTGTGTTACAAGCAGTCACACGATAGGAATCACTTATTGCTCACGCAAATGACTCAGCGGAAGGTGTGCTCACTACCCATGCCCATCTATAAATTCTGAGGGTTCCATAGAAATCTAGAGAGAATGCAGAGCCCTTGAGATCACCTATGCGGGCGATGCCAAGCAAAGCTGAGTATACAGTTGGTATCATAAGTGATGACTTCTCTCTTTTCCACGTTGGACAGCTCTCTGTGATGTAAGCTTTGAAGCGTCCAGTTCTCCTGGCCACCTTGAAGGGTCCCCAGAAACTTGGCTGGTGTTGAAGGTGTCAGGAAGCAACCCGGAAGACCAGAAAATGTTCCTTTAAGAAAACCTCTAAGATACACAGCTTACATTAGAATCAAATCGAGTAGAAATAATGCATATAAAAAAGCCCCTTTTTTTCCTTCAATTTAAGAGTCCTCTGTCCAAGACTGGGGGCGGGCGTGCAGTTTGCTGTGTCTGAGCAAGTGTGTAAAGAAAACTGAGTGCATTGCTTCAGGCAGCCTCCTTCCCCTTTCTCCTTCCCCATTCTACTCCCTCAGGCCCTTTGCCCCCACACGCTGGGGCCAGAATGTCCACCGTTTCCCAGCCAAAATCTTCTCTCAAGAAGGATCTGAAACTTATTTACATTCAAATACAAATGAGGATTGCAGCTGAGAGCGCTGCCTCCACATGGGCTTTGCCTTCAATGTTGCAGCAATATTTCCAGCCAGCTTCAGCGAAGAGCAAGACGCCATCTGTAGGAGGATCACACCTGGCTAACTGGCGTTTTAAAGATGGATCCGTGCTGGGAGAATCCTGAAGCCCCATGTGGACGTGTGGACGTAGATAAATCACTGGGGTGTAGATAAATCAGCCCTATTTTTCGAAAGCACAAAGAGTCAACAACGGTTAGATTGGAACTCAGGCTGTCCAGGCACGGTGTCTTAATTTCTTTTGGAAGGAGCTATAGGCCTGCTTGGTGGTCCTCACTTCATCTGAATTTAAAAATCACACAAAGTATGTCTATGATGGCAACCAAAGATCCTGAGATGACTCTGTTAGAAACTGATTTTTATATAAAGCATTTAAACCAATGGGATCAATTATGGAGAATAGTAAATAAGAAAATTAAAGAGAGCCTTCTGGCAGCTCACGCCTCAGTTCAAGACAGTTGGGTCCTATTTGAATCAAGTCTCACTTCCTTATAGCCTCCTTTTGAAGGGGTGAGTCTGACTTCCCTACTGTGTACTCTCTCAGCTGTCAATCATAACCATTGCAAAAGAGAGTCTCTTTCCTCTCTGGGCCATTCTGCGCATTGCTGACAGCTTCACCGTCCAATAGAATCGTGCCGAGCATGCCTGTGGATGCTCTCTCACCAGGTCTCCACAGAAGCATCGGTTACCTTTGTAAAAGGATGTCTTGCTTCTCTGCAGAAGTTTCCTCCCTGCAAGCTGGCGTTCATACATCCCAGGCTGCTACATAGGCTGCTGGGGGAGAAAAGCCAACAGATTTCCCAACTGTGGCCCCTGCGTGCTATAAAATTGATTTTTCAAGCAAAGTTTTGCCTACTAGTGTAATAGTGGCATGGTTGCTTAGGGGGTAACCAATCACTTCCTGGCTGGATTTGAGGCCTGTTTTGTGGGAAGGAATGCATGCCTGGTACTGTAAACCTGGCTGGGGAGGTCACAGCTGGTAGGAGATAATGTACCACCAAATGCTGTACTAGATGGACAGGTAGCCAAACTGCCTCCTAAATATTTATGTTTATGACAAAGACCAGGGCTG